ATCCTGTCTTCTCTGATCCTCCCCTTCTACGGTCCCTATCCATCTGCTGATAGAACAGAGCCTTGGGGACATGCTGCACATGCTCAGTATAGGGCAGTGAGAGCATGAAAACTCCTCCTACAAGCTTTAACCAGTGCTCAGTCGGACACCGATAGTCACAAGACTGCTATATACTGCTGAGAAGTTATTTAGCAGTTTTTATATTTTACTAAAATACCTGCATTTTCATGTTCTGTAGGAGACCAGATATAATGAATGCAGGGTCCTGGGTTTAGTAACACTTTTTAATTGAACAAGCTGAAGTTAGAAGCTGATTTTGTACTCTTCAGTTTTCGTAAATCAACCCCTAAATGTCTTCCAGTAGACACCATTTTTAGAACACTTCATCCAGTTCTGAAGACATAATTGACAAAAAGCTATTGATCAGATTGAAAAAGTTCAGAGACGGGCAACAAAAATGACAAAAGGTCTGAGTACTAAAACAACTCAGGGGAGACTTTAGGAACCTAATATGTACAATCAGGAGGAATGACGTAAAGGGGAAATATGGCTGAAACCTTTAAATACAGCAAATGGCTGAATAAGGTTCAGGAAGGCAGTATTTTCAATATGAAGCTAAGATCAAGAACATGGGGACATTACCTTGTACTACGAAGAGAAAATTACGAATTTACGAATGAAAATCCATTGACAATAATGGCTCGGTTTATGAATTTTTTTCGCAATACGAACAGATTAATTGGTTTTCAATGCATTTACAATTTTTTTTTTTTAATCATGTCCCTGTACAGTACTATGCTTTTAAAGTGCACTTTATAAAAAGTTTTGAACAGAAGACTTTTTTTTTTTTTTTTTTTTCTTTTACTTTTTTTTTTCTGACCTCGAACGGATTAATTGGTTTTCATTGCATTTACAAATTTTTTTTCGCAATACGAACGGATTCATTGGTTTTCAATGCATTTACGGATTAATTTTTAATCATGTCCCTGTACAGTATTTATGCCTTTAAAGTGCACTTTATAAAAAGTTTTGAACAAACTTTTTTTTTTTTTTTCTTTTTTTTTTTTCTGACCTCGGGAACGGATTTATTGGTTTTCAGTGCATTCCCATGGGAAATTGCTTTTCGGTTTACGAATTTTTCGCAACACGAAAAGTCCCGCAAAATGAACTAAATTTGTAAACCGAGGTGTGTGTGTAAAATACACACACACACACACACACTCACGATTCCATGGACCATTTGGGGTTTTATATTCTGCCGTCACTCAGTTTTTTTAGTTTCCACCTAATCAGGATGACCATCATCAGATCCTGCACCTTTATGCAATCCAGTAGTAACATCCTATTCGCATTATGGGGAAGTTTTAGTATTTTATGCAATACAAGTCTCCTCAAAAACTATCAAATGTATATGTGCAAGAGAAACCTCTAGAATAACAATGGGATTTCTCTTTACAGTTTGTAAGCTGTAACGTTTTTACATGGTGATGACTGAATAATTGTTTGAAAGCAACAGTTTGAATTGTAGAATTCAGAGGGATCAGCTAATCGAAGGAAGATATTTCAGCATGCATGTCTAATCTCTGATGTGTTGGCGGGTGTAGTTAGGGGGACTATTGCTTGCAGTAAAGGGCTTTACATCAGATGTGTTCGTATGCTTCACTGGGATAGCAGAAGAAGTATTTCAGGATGTTTGCTGATGTCACCAGACAATGGCTTTGCCAGTGACTGATGTCACCTTGCTGATATTCTGCTCACAGAAAGAAAACACATTGCCTGCCCCAGCATACCCATTATGACCCCCCTCTGCATCTAACTAGCTGGCGCGGTGTGACTGTTGGGGACAGTTTGTACCAGGTCACTGGCTCCTGTCCCAGCAATAAATCTCCTTGTTAGTAAATTTAGAGTCTCGAGTGACACAGTGCATCGTAAGGCTCACTCCTAAATAGCTAATGCTTGGCAGGACACTTCAATTCAGCCTGCAATGTGCTAAATAAATACAGCCAAAATACTTAACTTGTTCACAGCCAGACAGGATGACACTTAGGGAGACGACGTTGCTTTTGTTTAGCAGTTGCATAGAACATAAGGAGTAAGAGACCGCATTAGAAACACCTATATATTGGTTGATTTGATGTCAATCATGTTTAAAAAGTTCTGTTAAATTCTGCTAAATATATTAAACATATTTACTTGCCCTTTAATGATTTTGTTTTCAACCTTTGTCAACATCCACATTCTCCACTTCAAAATGCTCATCTATTTTCCTGGTTCGTGTGCAAAATAGTAGCTGAGGGAACTTTTAGGAGGCATGGTAATGATGCCCCCTGCCACTCCTAGAGGGTGCTGTCCTAAATGACTTTTTTTTTTCTCATTAAAGAAGCAGTCCAATTAACCCCAACCAAATTTTTCTGTAACAAATTGTAATAGACAGTTACGGACTTACAAGTAACCAGCTGTAAATGGCTTTACAATGGCCTCTATAGCTTAAGTAACTGTGGAGTAATTCATTCTCAAATATCTCAGCAGAAGCACTGAAGTCCTAACAAGTTCTTAGCAGCTCGTATCTACCTCCTAGAGTTTCTGATCTGTGTACATTACAAGGCTAGAAGTCTGCCATTGCAAGAGGAAATAGGGTGAGCGGAGCTGCTGAGAAAATAACTTGAATAACAACTTCAGTGGTTGTGCTGTGAATATTAAGGATAATTTGCTCTGCAGTGCCGATAGCTGCAGAAGTCAGTGATGGCTTGTTTTCAAAGCTCAACTCTAAGAGTTAAAAAATTGCATAGGCCCCACACCAGCCACATGTGGATGCTACAGTGTACTTGCTGAAGACAAAGTTGAGATTCAGGTCTTCAGTTGTCCAGTTTTGGTCAACGTGTGCCTGCTGTAGCTTTCTTTTTCTGTTCTTAGCTTAGAACATTGGAACCTGTTGCTCTTATAGCCCATTCTCTTTTAAGAGTGGATGTGTTTGTTCAGAAACAACATTCTGCATGTGTTGCTTCTTTTTTGGCTATTCTCCTAGAAATTACCACATTATATTCACCCGTGATGGGTATGAGTGATCCCATACAACTAATGCTTGGAGCACTGAATAGTAGTATGCATCTCAAATTTGGGGGGGAAAAAAAACAAATGTTAAGGTGTGCTTTTAGTGGTCTTTTGAAACTAAGCATGGGGGAGGAGCAATTTATATGAATGAAGGCCATACCTACAGCCTATGTTTTTGACTATTGGCCTACATAGAACCTTTTAAGTACAGTCTTCACTTGAAGGGTGAATGAATGAACCTCAAGAAACTCTTCTTTATCTTTTGAGACAGGCCATCCAGCACTCCAAACTGTTGCATTCTTCTGATGCATTCCATCCTGCATGGGGCTAATTGACTAAAACGCCCACTCTTAGGCACCTTTAATGGATGAGAAGCCAGCTTATTGCTGGACCATCCTTTCCAATAAATGGTCGTAAGCCAGGTATTTTTGGTGCGTGGCTCAAACTCTTCCATTCCTGTTAACATCGGCAGCCTTCACAAGCAGTGGTGAAGTGCACTCGTCGTGGGGGATAGTGCTAAGTTTGAGGGCCTTTTCAAGTGGTAAGAATTGCTTGCAAGCTTAGAAACTTACATACTGATCGAGAGGATGCTCTTGGCACACAACGGGAATGGGCATCAAGCATTCCCTTTAGGTGCCCATACATAAGGCTGGAAGTAAAATAACACGGGCATTAGAAAATCGGTGAGAACTGAGAAGCCGGTTTTATTCCCATTAGATTAGTTAAGCTCTTCCAAACAAGTATGTTGTCCCTTTCTGCAGCTTGCCATTAAAAAAAGAAAAAAAAAGGAACTTTAAAAAAGAATAACCTTGATACTATTTCTGTCTCCACTCATTCTCTGCTCTAGTGGAGGTTTTTTTTCCCTTCTTGTTTTGTTGACAATGATATAAAAAAAGAGGCGCAGGGAACACTCTGTACTAGCTATTTGAATTTGGCAGGCAGGGGCTGTTCCTGTACTGATAAGGAGTACTGTAAATAAGACTGTACAAAGAGCCTGCCATAAAGCAAGCACTGTCTGTACTCATTGTTCTCTCTCCACTGGTTTTGTGTGTTATGTATGTGTGGTGTTTTGGTTTTTTTTTTTTTTGGTTTTTTTTTTTTTTTTTTTTAATTTTTTATTTATTTAAATTTTCGGGACACTGTTTTGGAACACAATGTTCTTCCTAGTCAGACCGAACATGCAGATCTTGTTAGCAAATTGCCAGCATGTTTATTTTTGAAACCCACAGGAATTTTTATGATCTACATATTAAAACTTTTTTTGTAAATGAGTAGTATTATATTATAAAATAGTTTTTGTTCTTTTGTTTTTTTTTTTTTTTAAAGGCAGGTGATTTGTAAGAATTGTTAAATAATTTTTTACAACAAAAGTATATGGCGCACAATAGAAATGTTATATACAAGAGGATAGGCTTCCTAAAAATTAGATCTAAAACCATATGTTAATCCATTTGTGTGGGTAGAGGGAGTTGGTCCGCAAGGAACGGAACACTAGGAGTCAGATCAGACTCATGGAGAGTTCGGAAGAGTCTATTCAGTAGACGGTGCACTTCTATAGGCAGCTCCACCTAACATTGGAATGATCTCTACAAAACAACAAATGCAGGATTTGGGGGGCGCGCTATGTGCAGCATAAAAGGACACCTTTATTAATAAAGCCAAATGCAAATTCACATGCCACAGTAAGCAATGCGCTTGTCATGCATCACAAGTAGGAATCTATCCACCCAGAGAGTCTGTCATCACAGCCAGCAGTAGTATCATCAGGAAGCAGTGATGTAGCCAATCCGGAGTCTGTGAAACCACCCTGGAACACGGAACCAGGATGCCACATGAGCTCCAAAACCATGGTTACCAGCCCACCCTTCCTGTCTTCACTTCCCGTTTTTTGCATTCCATGGTGGTTTCAATAAAGGTTTCCTTTCATGTTGCACTTATCTGGTGCTGTTTGTGTAACCTCCCTGGCGGTATTCCCGAGTGTAGCTCGGGGTAAAGTTTCAGCACCACAAGCGGTAACCCCGAGCTACACTCGGGCTTACCATGCACCGTGCTCCGGAATCTGTTCTTCTCTTACCTTGTCCTGCGCTCCCGCGGTGTCCCCTGTAATGTCCTCCGGCGGATGCCGGCATCTGTCTTCTGGGTTCCATCCCCTGCAACGTCGGGACGTACGGGGACGGAACTGGCGGGAAATTTGAAAATGACAAAAAGCGACATTCACTAAATTCACTAAAATCACATAGTAACATTACTGTATCAAACCATTTCACATACATTTTGTCCCGAGTGCTTTGTCCTGCGCCCTGCCTGCATTTTTACTGTTCTTTCTGGCTGGAAACTGAGAAACATCCATGGCGTCCAAAAAGCGTCCCTTTAGGTCAAAATCGGTTTTAGACCGGCTAGAGAACAGCGATAGTAAATCAGAACCACTTGCAGAATTGATTATGATTCGTGGGGGAAATTGGTCATCAGACACTGAAAACAATTTTGCGACTTTGCTCAGTGATGTGTGAACTTGGCGCTCTATTTCAAATTTCAGTGTTTTTGATTTGATTATATTATTGAATTAAATTTATTATTTTTTATGATTATTAAATTATAATGTATGATTTTGTGTTTCAAATTTTAACATACCAGGGATGTTTACTAGACTCTTGTTCGGACAGATTGTTATTCCTAAAAATTACAGGCCTACAATAAAAAAAAAATACATATTTCCATGCAAAAAAATGTACCGCTTTCAGCACAGAAATATGGACATAATCAGACTTCTAGGGAGGGTAAACAATTTTTGCCCATTGATACTAATAAAACAGAAGGTGCAAAAAAGCTGATGTATATAGTTTAACTAATGAGGTGTGTGTATAAATCTGCCATTATACAAACAAACATCCGATGGTCGCACATCCGGTAAAATCACCTTTATTTTCTTCATATAGCATATTCCACAAATAAGACCCGGGATAAAGGACTCCAGCTAACGTGTTTCACGCTCCACTAGCGCTTAGTCATAGTTCCAATAAATCTGTCATATTTGTGTTTTGCCAAATTATGATCCAGTGTACCCCTCAGCCTTTGTTCCTCTTTGCGTTTTAGGATTAGGTTAGGATTAATGTGCAGAGATAGGTTAGCAAGGTTGCAAATCAGGTGTAAGATAGATGTTAAGGGGGCAGTTCTAAGGGTTAGGTTCATAGGGGGACCATATGGTGATCAGAGTAGAATTGTAAGTCTACTTTGGGTATCGGAATACCCCATCCTGGTTTTTGGCACCCAAAAATAATATACTGTTGCGGGTCACAACTTTGCAGTTTAGGTAACACACTACTATGTAAGAACCTAATGTTAAATAGAAGACCTAATTAGATGAGTATTGTAAAATGTCACCACTGCCTGCAGCTCATTTAGCTGGGCAGAATTATATTTTTTTCTAATATTAGGGTTTATTATTTTCAGCATGGTCCTAGTTGAAACTCTCTCGTTTAAAAAGCATCCTATTCAGCAAACTTTTAGAATGCCTTTTAGCAAATCTCAGAGCTTGTTTTTAAACCATTGAAGTAGACTTCAGTTCTCGTCTGGGAGTGAAAAATCCAGATCTCAATCCATGTGCTGGCTGTAGTGTTGCCAAAAGTTTGTTTGAAGCTGCAGCCTTCACTTCCATTGAGACCTATTTTCGTTACACCCCTGATTGGAGCTGATGGGTGCTATTTAACGTCAACCCTTGAGGATATGACTAGGCAGGTGCCATTGCTGGCTTGTTTTTTAAAAGTGCATGCTCTGGGGGTTGTCATCCTGATCCTTGCCTTGCTACCTAGTGGTTCACTAATCTAAAACAAAGCAGGTAATCTGTGAACTTTGCAAGGCTAGAGCTCCTATTGTGCCCATTCAAAAACAATTCTGCAATAACTGCCAAGTATGCCATCTGATTTAGTAAAGTCCTAAAGATAACAGAATTGCTCTCATTCGGCCGTGTACCAGGTTGGACATTTTTTTTTTTTTTTTTGTCAAACTACAAAATACATTTGGTGTACATGCATATAAATAACTTGGATGGAGCCAAACGCCCACCAATGAGGCTGGCATGATAAATGCCGTTTGGTACTGTAATTTAGGTCAGTTATTGTAAGGTTCAGTAGAGCCTTTTCTTTTCTTCTTTTCGATGGTGCGGGGGTTTGGGCTGAGATGTGGTATGTTCAAAAGGGTAAGTTAAAAAAAGAAGTTTAATGAGCAATAAAAATGTATCTGCTGACGCTCCCACTCCCATGCATGAGTGTTGTCGGTGCTGCTCAGAAGCGTGTGTGTGCCTGCTGCCGGAAGCCAACTCTCTCATTTACAACTAATTATTTATCTGCTACAGAGCAGCGTGGTTGGGCAACGGTGGGGTCAGAGGTGCGCTGTCACCCATGATAACTCCTGGATCTTTTGCACCTAGCAAAAATGTGACCAAGCGCTACATGAACTTTATGTCCTGGAGTATAGAATAAATTAGAGCTCCTTATGGTGAGATTTCTTTACTGGCAAGCCAGTCATTTGTTTTTCTTTGCACTAATATACAGGGAAAAATATTGAAATTAGTTACTATATGCCACACAGCACTTTCCTTTTTTTTTTCTGTTTTTATAATTGAGGTCTACTGTGGTATTTGATCATTGACTTTTAAGCACATTCTAAGGACAATGTGTAGGTTGTATTTTACCCCTTGGCTGATTACCAAGCTATTTGTGTTTAGTTTTGTGAGTGTTCACCAAGTTCTATTTTTCCATTACAGCTGGAGCCAAAGCATTTGTATGTGAGCAGTGTGGAGCACAGTTCTCGAAGGAAGATGCATATGATGCTCATCGGCGGACGCACAATGGTTAGTGAATTTTTATTATGATTATGGACTGCTTGACAAGAACGCCTTTTATCTTCTGTTAAGTGGTTTCTAACACAGTGAACTCATGTGATCTCTAATATAAGTAATGTACAGGACTAGAGTAGGGTTGCCAGGCAGGCTTGACTTTTAAACCGGGCACATTTTAATATTTGACACCAAAATTTGTTGAATTTGATGATGCAGTGCTGGGTGTTAGTGTTAAAGCCAACCCAAACCTGCTGTTGACCCATGTACAAAATGTTTATAGTTACAAGTAAAAATTATAAAACTTTTCTCTTTAACAATAAAAATACATAAAATATGTGAACAAACAAAACAACACCAAAAAGTGTCCAAAATATCAAAAATAGTCCCCGCAAGTGTAGACAATTATTCGACACAGTCTTTCTTCTTTCACCAACAAAAATCTCCTTCTCATCACCCGCAAATCCTGATGACAATACACCTCAAAAAGAAAAAGCTCGACATAGTGTCATACCTTTTAAATAGTAAGTACACACGTGCCACTCACTGTGCAACATGCAAAAAAAAAAAAAAAGATCTATATATGTGTGTTTACTCTATAAGGGAGTATCTATACACATGCAAATATTCCTTTTGTGTACCTAAAATATATATATAAGTGAAAGACACTCACACAAAGTGTCACTTACACAATATGTGAAAAACAACTCAAAATTGTCACTGCAAGTGTGTATCACCGCACTCTGTATTCATCAGTGATCACCTTAAACCCAAACCAGCACTCTCCAACTCGTGTATTGATGGATAATTACCCTATATATGAAATGACAGGGCATAGCACCACTCTGGGTTAACTTCTCATCATTAGGGTTTCATCCAATATTAGGGTTTTTCCTCCATTTCCCTCATAAGAAAATCCACAATTACAAATAGTAGATACAAAAATATCCTCCTTTATTTGGCAACTCACATTAAAATTTGGGTGAAGCAGCTCCTCCTCATAGGGATACAGGTGTAGACAAGTTAGGGAAACATTGGCCACATGTTCCCACTTCCAAGATGGCCACGATCGCACTTCCGGTCAGTGTCGATACATCTGACGCGTTTCGTCACTTCCTATGACTTTTTCAGAAGGGTCAGTTACAAGTAACTGATGTAATAGGCACATTTGGGGAGATAGACTTGAATCACCATAACTGATATCGAAGGAGACCAATAAGAACAGGAGAACATTTTATGCTAAAACCTTCCCGCCTGATTTTTATTCTTGTTTTGAAATCTACATACTTGGGTCATCACTTTGGAAATACAGACTGTTTTAAATGAAGAGCTGCTGTTGTGTTGTAAGTTCCAGAGTATAAAATTGTCCTGTTGCTGGTCAGGCGTTAGGATATTTGGCCTTACAGATTCCAAGAAGGCTGACCTCCTAAATCACATGCGTCAAACACAAAGCCCATGGGCCATTTCATGTGGCCCTCGAACCTCTCCTTTCTGCTCCCACCTTGTCTCAGTAGTCGGCAGCAGAAAGGAGGACAGAACACCCCTGCCGGATCCTGGGCTTCTCCGTGCAGTTTCAGAGAGACTTCTCTACCCTCCCATTTCAGCAGTCTGCAGCAGAGAGGACAGAACTCCTCCTGCAGATTCTGTGCAGCTACAGCATTTCCTTGTTTCTGCTTCCCCTGCTCTCACCATTCAGCAGACTCTGGCAACTGGATCTAGCCTTCCTCTGGTCCTCCTTCTGATTTTGATTTGAAGAAGGGGGGGGGGGGGGGGGGTGCTCTTGACATCTAGTCTTACGGGTCTTACACTTATAACCAGCCCTTTGAGGGCAACCATAATGCTGATGCGGCCTGCAATTAAATTTAGTTTGACAATCATAACCTCCCTTTTTTTTTTTTTTTTTTTTTCTTGTTCCTACCTGGAGAAAGTTACTTGTCAGATGACAGGTTATTTATTCTTATTAATTTTGTATTTCTATAGCCTTTTCTCCCTGGGGACTTAAATCGCTTACCAGATTGGAGTTGGAATAGACAGTTGGGACAGCAATCTTGAGCGCACTGAACAGTGTTTCAACCTGCCAGCATGTCTTTGAAGTTTGGGAGTAAACCCATATGAGAATAAAGAGAACATGCAAAGATCATGTAGACAGTGTCCTGTCTGGTATTCAAACCAAGGACCCCAGTGCTGCAAGGCAGAAGTGCCAGACACTTGGTCACTGTGCTGTCCTATGGATTAACAATTTCCCTACCATGCTATACTGGCTACAGCATGGTCGTCCAGTTCAGCCCAGAAAGCACCCCCAGCAGCATGCACCTGGTGCGGTCTGTGATTGCTTTGTCCTTTTTGACCTGATAAAAGCCAATCACAGCGGCTTTTTACCATGTGATCAGCTGTGTCCAACCACAGCTGGCCACCATGTAAATACACTTGCCGGTTATC